TGTTTAAAAATATTGGAAGAATGTTGGGTGTTGAGGACAACCCTTTAGGAATGACAAGCCAAGTTTTAATAAAACGCAATCACAATTTTCCCACTACACCAGGCACTCAAACACATGCAGGCTCACATTCCTGACAATCTCTAGTGTTTGCTGTTAAAATAAGTGCCACTGTGATCATTTTCCACTTGTCTGAAAGTAACTGCAGCATGACACCAAATCAGCAAAACAGCTCTTCAGTGTCTTCATAACTCCTCTAAAAGTTACCTTATGGTATTGTCACACCACATTTGCTTGTCATCACTTATTTACTTTGCAAAAAAAAAAAAAAAAAATTGAAGTGGTTTGATTTATCCAAATCAGCATGTCCCAGCTACCTACAGAAACAGCGTAGGGAACATGTGTTGGTCTCAAACTAATAAACACATCAGTATACCTTTGGGAAAGCTGCTGTGACAGCCTGTTCAGCATTAATGCTATTTACGTTCCAACCAGATAGCAGAATGCAGAAAGAGCCCTCCCAGGGTTACAGTAAGAAATATTTTACAGGAGGTAAATATTTATTGACTCTTTCTTCACCACCATCTCCAGCTGTTATAATGCATACAGCACCTATCAAAAATCCCAGCTGTCATCCCATTCTGCACGCAGAATGCAGAAACAGAGCAGTGATGAGATGTATTTGTGTCTGGACTTGTTAGTTTGTGGTCTTATTAGTTTTCATATATAGGCAGCAGCGTTACATGGACTGTGGAACAGCTCGTTGTTTCCTCTGGTTTGACAGAGGCAGGCAACACTCAACAGGAATGTCAACAAGAGAGAATCAACAATTTCCGGTTAATGAGATGACACTGTGAGCCTCCAAGAAGAAGCACAATAGAGGAAAAAATATATATATATAAATGAAATGAGTTGTAAAAACACTTTTTTAAAAAGCAGTGAGGCTCAGGGTGAAGTCAAGTATACATGTCAGCTTTCACAACAAATCCTGGATGGAACTAATTCACAAAGCCCCAAAATGGAAACACAGGACCAGAACTATTCTGCAGCTGTAATCTAACTGCATCCATAACACAAATCTTCAGTATGGGCTGGGTCAACTTTTCTCTATGGTGACAGTCTTGGGAGCCTATTCAGTGATTCCTGGTTACAGCCTCCAGCAATGAGAGGATCCAATTAACCTTCACTCGATATATCTGCGGTGAGGGTGCACCTCACCAGCTCTGGTGTTTGGCAGGAGGACGGATTAGCTTCAGCAGACACCAGTTCCACCTGTCAATCATCTGACTCAAACCATCTGAAAATCTGTCTAGCTGTGAAAATTTTGCTAAACATCACCCGGAGCTCCGGGAGACTGCGTGTGCCAATTAAAAGTCGTAAAGTGTACGGTGCATGTCAAAAATGGCACATGCTCTAGTTTATATACTTGTGCTACCAAAAGAGAGGAAGAAAACCTTTCCAGTTGAGGCACACATTTCTGTGGTTGAAAACACACCTCTGCTCTCTGTGACTTTCATATGTATAGCTGACTTATAAAGGGATGCTCAACCTGGAATCTATATTAGAGAATCAACCTGCTACGTAGGCTATGAGTGTCTCAAACCTCTGCTGCATTGTGATCTACGTCTTTGCTGTCCTTCTGTGCGTTCTAATTGTTTATTGGTTACATCACACCCAGATGAAGCAATCTGGTGCAAACTACACTGTCCATTAAGCAGCATGCATACTTTAGGAGGAAATCAAACAAAAAAATTATCATTTAAATATGTGCATTCCCCAAACTGACAAACGTTAGGACTATTTTTTTGCAAATAAAAGTATTGTTGTTCAGTCAAAGTCTAATAAAAACCCAAAGCAGGAAACACAAAGTCCTCTAAAAATTCTTAAAATCACATTAAAGAGCCATATGCTTGCATTTCAGTATTATATTCATTCAACACAATGAGTGTGGGAGGTGTATTTTATTCTGAATCAACACTGCAACTCCCTTATAATGAGGATAAAATGTCACCGGGCACTGTGGCACTAGTGTGAAGTGTTTTCCATCATTTTAAACCAACCGTGGACTCCTTTTTTAAATTGATGATCTAATGTTATATCAGTTTTTTTTGAAAACCAGTAATTTTCTGCAGCGGTGTCATGTAGATTTTATAGGATTTAATGTCACCACTGTTTCCCTTAAACAGCATCTAAACAGTATTACAAGAAACTGATGCCTGTAATTCGAAAGCTGTGTTGCTGCTGGAAAAGTCAATTTTTATGCCTCATTGATTTCATTAAAAAGTTCACTGTACTGCGGTTTTATGGGCTGTTTTCTTTCATGTTTCCTTCCATCTTGACACGACTATTATACATTTTAATCAATTCAGGGAGTCAACACTGTGTAGAGGCTTTGATCATAAGCGACCACAACACATGCACACGTTTACTTTTTATTTTGTGAATGTTAGCCTTTCCTAACCCTGCTCTGTCGTTTACTCTCCCTGCCAAAACCAATAACATCATTGCTAGATACCGCCTTAGCTGCAGAGGGCAACAACTTACAGTAAACTGCACTTTTTTGGGGTTCAATATTTTAATCAAATTTCTTTTAGTGCATGCTAAAATAACCTTAGGTCTGCTAAATGACCTGAGAAGCGGCGAAGATATTAAACCTGATGCCAAATTGTCTGTTTGACCTTTAGAAGATGGAACATCGCTGTCAGGAAGAGCAGTAAAGACCCACTGTGTTGATTTGTTTCTGAACTTCAAACAGGCTCTCTAGAAATATTTCATCACACACGAGCGTTGCACCAGTGTGCCATTCCTGATGTGGTTCTGAATATTGTGCTGACACTGTGCAAGTCTGACGACTGCATCACGACCCTTGACAGTCACATCCAAAGAGCAGACAAATACTGAACACCTCTGGTTAGTTTTTTTGACAATCATAGCAAGAACTGGGTAAGAGAGCAATAAAAAAAACTGAATATAATCTAGGAGGACTTTATATATGCCACTGAATAGACCGATAGGAGTATAGAGCAGGATAATCAGATTAATACTTCACTGTGATTACACTCATTGCAGCTGTTCTGTCAATACTATTTGCATTTCATCTATAAATTGAAGACTTAAACTTGATTCATTTTATGCTCTGTTGGCATTCCTTTTCTTCCAGTTGGGCAGAAGGTATCGAGGCAACAAAACCCATAAGAATAAAGGAAAATTAAAAGAAAAAAAGACTATAAGACAGATTCAGGAAGACAATAAAGGTTTCAAGAATAATTTCGAAAAAAAAATAAAAATTTAATAAGGTTCTATAAAAAGAGAGATTCAGTGAAGGATTTCAAAAGTAATGAAAGATTTAAAGAAAGCAGAAATATGCAAAGATAGATTTGATAATTTTAAAAAAAGTTCAAGGAAAGACTCAAAAAAGAACAAAAATCAAGATTCTAAGAAAAAAATAGGTATTCTAAAAAACATTGAAAAGTAAAATATATATATATATAATAATCAAAATTCAAAGAAATACCTGAAAAACATTTCCAAGGAAAAAGAAAGATCCAAGCAAACCAGGGGGGAAAAAAGAGTTCAAGAAAAGGTTTTAAAAAAGGAAAATCTTACCAGAGATACTCAACAAATTCAAACAAAGACAAAATGTAAGAAAAGATTTTTTTTTTTTAAAGAAAAAAAAAGCAAAGACTCAAAGTAAAATTTTAAGAAGGAAGGATTCATATATTTAAAGAATTACTTAACAAAAGATTAACAGACTGACAAAAACAAAGATTAGAAGAAAAGTTCCAAGAAAAAGACAAGAATCCTAGAAAAATTCAGGAATAACAGACAGAACAAAAACTCCAAGGATTTGATAAATGATTCATGGAAAAATAAATAAATAAATAAATAAAGATGTAAAGAATGGTTCGAGAAAGAACAGGCAGAAAGAAAAAAATTACAAGAAAAAGAACAAGAAGGACAAACATGCTGATGATGATGATGATGATGGTGATGGTGATGATGATGATGATGATGATGATGATGGTGGTGATGGTGATGATGATGATGATGATGATGATGATGATGATGATGATGATGATGATGATGATATACCTTTGTTGTTTTTACAGAGAAACAATCTTTTTTATTCTCCGTCAAACTGTGAAATATCTGGGCCACGGTTTCCACGGTAAAGTGACTTGAGACGAATCGCGGTGCCTCATTTATCCACTCAAAGACTGAAAACGCCACCGGGGCCATCCCTCTTGTGAATTTTCTTCTCTTCCCCCCTCCCAGTCATTCACTACTTCCGAGCACTGAGGGGCTTCATTTGTCTCAGTAGGCCATAAATCATGGCTGCGCAGTGAAACAACCTCTCCTCCCTCAATGATAACTGCACAAGAGCGCCCGAGCAAGACCGTGAATGACTGTAACGGAGGTGTTTCAACACAGGACAGCAGCAGCGATGTGTTGCCTGCAGTTGTTTCACCTTCCTGCATCCGTCTACCTGTTCTGTCACTGTGGAGAGTTTCCACTTTTCCATACTTTCACCTACTCCACTGGCCTCATTTCATTCTGATAGCACGGAGGCACTTTGCTGACTGAACGCTCCCCAGAGAGATTATTATTCTAAAAGGATGCGAGTGTGTGATGACGGCGACAGTCTCACCTTGAAACACAAAGTCAACCTCCCTCCAAGACCCACTGTCCACTGTGCATTTATATCCACGTTTTTTTTTACAATACATACTCTATGGCTCCTATTTAGTATGCTAATATATGGCAGCATCTTTCGCTGTGACGATCAGGAGTTGGCTGAATACTCCAGAGCAGAGTTTGGAAAGTCACATTGATCACTCAACAGCTTACAGACACACATTCATTAATTTGCTAAAATCTGCAGGATGTTTACTCCGTTCATTTTAAGTGCAAGTAAAGTGGAGCAACAGCAAAGAAAAGGAAAAATATAAACAGAGAAAGAAATCCTGGGAAAACATAAGCTCGTAATATGTCCGTAGTTTTACCTGGTCCAGAGCAAAAGGATGCGATCACAGCCAGGATACAGATGTAACTGAGGTAGGGCATCCATGACACACTATCCTGGAAAGACACAGGAAGAGAGGTCACATTACATCCCTTCTCGGTTACAGCTACTGCGGAAGTTCGGTTGGTGCTCCGATTAAAGTTTTACTCATACTGAATAAGGCACAAAGCGGAGATAAAAGCCGTGTTTCCGCTGGATCGGTTCGCCGTCTCAGACAGTAACCTATTGCGGCACACAGTTTGAGTGGCGTGAAGATGAGGAAGAATGGCTTACCTGGAAATTGAGGAAAACTGTGAGCAGGCTGAAGCACACGGCCATAGCAGAGAAACCGAATATGAGGAGGGGTTTCCTTCCAATCCGTTCAATCACCAAACCCTGGAGACAGGACAAAAATAGGATCAGATTCGAGGGGGTTTCTGTGCTACTGCTGTTATGATCATTTGTTTATACTATGCTAGAACCATGGCTCCGGGGAAGATAAAGTCAGTTAGTTGGCTTTTAGATTGGTCAACCTGCCACTTTGATCCAGACTGAAATCTATCAAAGGCGACCAAATGGATTGTGATGGATTGTGATCCCCAGAGGGTGAAGTCTACTGACTGGTGACGTGTTGACTGTTTCTAGTGCCGCTGTGAGTTTTAATGAAATATCTTTGCAAACGCATTAAATTTGGTACCGATATTTATCAAAATGTTGAAATGATCAGTTCCCATTGTCAAAATTTTAATGCTGCAATTTTTTCCTCATCACAAATTTTACTTGCTTCAGCAGGAGCGTGCGGTCAATAACACCAGAGATGACTCCATCCCATTAGGGTGAGCGGGTCGCCCCATACATAAGCCATCATATGTACATACGGAGTGACACACACAGGAAGATATACACTGTGTGTGGCTCATCAATAATTCTGTGTCCACTTCTTGCTCTTCACCCGGGTGTCTTTCTGGATTATAGATGAAGCTCGAGGCATGAGATGGAGGCCGATGCGAAGCACAAGCCGCGACTGCAGGCCTTCCTCTGTCGTGACCTCGGAGAATTAAAGCATTCATGGCACCGCTCTCACCTCGTCTAACCACTGGGATTTCGTGAGCTTGTGGAAAAAGGTCACCGGCATTTGTACAGTGTGTATCCTTGTACTGAGGGGCTTCTGAGTCAAGACGGAGAGGAGAAGATAATATATACGTGCTTGTGTGGTGGGGGGTTGTGAGGGAGCTGCCTGAAGACAAGGAAAGCCTGTCACCAAAGACATTCCCACTGCTCCAAAGTCTGTACCAGGACTGTTTTGACCAATATTTTTTTTTACTTTTTGAGCCGTTTCTCGTCGGCACGCCTCAGAATGTATCAGCTTGAGGTCTTCATTGTGTCCAAAAGCTGCGGATTTCACTCAGAACAAGCATCTGTGTAAATATCTCACTGGCCTTGGTGGGCGAGAGACACTCCTCTACAAGAAACTACCCACACTGCAGCACACACAGCCTTGCACCTGCCACCAGCAAGCCCACAGCTCATTAGGGTCTCTGAAGGTGTGACAGACTGAATATTTATGAGCCTGCATATGTGTTCGAGTGGCAACAGAGGTTTGACTATTGTACTGTAGCAGTGTGTAATGTTTTACCAGCCGTAGACGAAGCCCAGGGGATGAAAAGGGAGTTACTGTGTGACACTTTGATTATTTCAATCCGGTATTCACTCTTTCAGGTACATTAATCCATTTGAACATGTGAGTTTCCTGCTTTGTGTCCAATAATCATTGTTACATTGGCTACACGTCACACTGTTTTCCGGCATATGCAGGTTAAACAATGTAATTACAGAGCAGAAATCTTCAGCTAATGACTATGTATCAATAACACTGCTGGTTAATAAGTCACACCACCTTGTGAGAGAAAAAAAAATCACTAATGACTTGCAGCTACAAAATATGATAAAGTGTTTGTAGGTCAGCTTCTATTTTGTGCACATAACTAACACTGTGAACCACTGATTAAACTGGATTAGATGACAGCCCCAGCACAATAATACACACACACAACCTAAAATCCTACTTCTTGGCAGACTTGGCGGAGGTCAGACTTGTAACTGCAGCCGTCACGGTTGGCAGGATTAAAATGTCTGGTCACTATTCATCACATCAAGAAGCAGATGAGCCATTAAAGACGACTGGCCGCAGCCTGAGGCGCCACTGGCCCTTCAGATGCACTGCAATCTCTGCACCATCGCGATTTGAATGACAAAATCTGTCGCATAAAGACACAATGATGCCGTGAGTAGGTTCAGACACGGTGACAATCAACACCCAGACTCGCTCGGAGGACAAAGATAATAAAGGTACCGATGTGTTTTGTTTCTTAGTTTACGCCAACCGTCTTTATAAGCTGCTTCTCTGTTTCCTTTATTGTGTCTGCAGACAGGAAGAATATTGAAGATATCTGATCCTGTTTTACTGCCTTCAGAGGAAGTTATTTGCCGATAATCATATCTGTGCAGCACTGAAACACTCTAGACCAAAATCAATCTCAATAAATGTGAAGTATTCATGCAGGAGGGAGATCTAACTGTTCTAACACGTGACTATCTACCTATCTATCAACCTATTTATCTGTCAATGTCTGACACATCGAAAAAATATAATGAAAAATGTTGTCGTTCAGCGAATGCATACCTGAGCTAAGTGGACTCCTTCATATTACTGTAATTTAAAGTGCTTCACCTCCACCAGAGGGTCAGTTTTGGTAATAATTTGTTTGTGTTCAGACTTTAATTTGCCAAAGGGCTCCAGAGTGTGATGACACGGCCGGATGTGTGTGAATTAATGTGGGGTGGCATACAAACCTCGGTTCTTGTTTGTTGGCCAGCCGTATAGTGACAAGCCTGCCGCAGTGAAAGGGCGATTGCCCAGTAGGGCACTAGAAAAGGGGTCAGGAGGCCAGAGCATAGCATTTTGCATTTAGTAATCACACATTGTGCCTGTTTTTTTTTTTCTTTTTTTTCTTTTCTTCTTTATATCTTTCACAGAAGAGTTATAATAGCTGTGTTGGGATCACAGTGTTGGCTTGAATAGAGCTTAATAAAGGGTATAATACTTTTGTTGAAGCTCAATGAAGCATTTAGATTTAATGAGATGCAAAATTTAGAGGCAACATGAATGAATACATGGCAAATAAAATGAACAGATGTGAGCTGACAAATAAAAAATTGCTGCAGGTGGTGTGAATTGTGCTGATGATCAACTTGTAAACATATGAGAACCAAGAAATAATTAAAGGCTAACACAAGTGGCATCACATCGCTTGATGCTGTGCAGAGATGGGAGCACAAAATGAGAAACAACTGGAGCTGGTGGTATTTTTAAAAAGTCTGCCGAGCCCATAAGTACATAAATCGTGCCACGTATCTGAGCTGTACCGCTATGAGGAAAATTGAGCAATCAAATTGCAAATCAAAGAGATTATCAGCTTTGCAAAAACATAGCATTAACGACAACAAATGCATGAAATATGAGTTGTTTTTTTACGAACTGTCACTTATTTATAGGTGATGGGAAAATGTGTTTTCTGAAATTCATTATTATTTCTCAGGAGAGCCTGTTTTATTTCATGTTTACAAGGTTGAAGTAGTCATTAGCTTCTCTTTAGACTGCTATTTAAATGATACATTAGGATGTATTTTGACCATTGTGCCATTCAGAGTGCACATCGTCCGGTTCTGCTTTTCAATGGCGTGATCCATTACTGGCACAAAACCTGTTCGGTCACAATTGTTAGCCTCACGTTCATTTTTATTTGCTGAGCTATGGTTGTCAAAATCCTCCAAATACTCATCTGGACACACCCTCTGACAAAAATCCAAACAGACACACTTCTATATCAATGTGTCCGACTTTAGGCACCGTAAGCGTAAAACAACACTGCCACTGTGAGGTCAAACTGGAAATGACAACATTGCGCAGTTGTTTCTGTCCAGTATTAAAAAACTCTGAACAAGAAACTATGTAACATATTACACATCGACCTCAGTGTTACGACTGCGGTCGTACTTGTTTAAGGAATATTAAGTCCTTTGATCTGTGTGACCCGTTCTGATTTCATTACATATGTAAATAGGGCTGCGCCGTCACGACCACGGGATTGGCTGACCAGCGGAAGTACCAGTTTAAATACGGAGGAAGGACTTCGCCAATCCGCGCAGAGACTGAGGGTCAGATGGGCGGAGCCATTTTCCTCACCGGCATCCCAACCGGCACAGCATCACGTCACCAGTTGTGTGTAGTGAATTTTGTGAATGGAGTGAGCTGCTACTTTCTTTGTTACACCGTTTTATGTTAGGTAGGGAGGCCAGACATTGTGTTTATTTTTGATACTTTGTTTTTGATAGGCAAGTTGGTTCTCCCTTTCTTTAGCTTCGTTTTGGTTGTTTTTTGTAGTAGAGCTCACTCTTAATTTAAGTTAATCATTCCTTTTGTTTTAACCCCACATTTATTGTAAATAAATCATTATTTGTCCGGTAAAACTGCTGTGGTGTGGCTGCTTGGGATCGGAGAGGGATGGCACATTTGTGTTGCGTTCAGGTGCCCCTAGACTGGGCGTAACACTCAGATTTGACAGTAGAAACTGTTCTTTGAAGGCCCTTTCCACAGCCAGTGCGTCAGTCTTTATATAAATAATCATTTCTATCAATGACTTTCCTCTGCACAAAGTTATTCACAAGACTGAAAAAATACAGCAATTGAATGAAAAGGCTGGAATGACTTATCCATCCATCTCTTTGATCACAGTTCTAAGATGCATAATGTAATCGCACATATTTTGTAGTTTCCACTTTATCTAACATTCACGTTTTTGTATCTTGTGGAGGAAACTCAAGCAAAGTCGTGAAACCAGGTATTAATACACAAAGACATTTTTCTTTTTTTACATTATAAAGTGCAACCAGAAAGCATACATAAAACGACTGAACCCTTCAGCGCTACATGTACAGACAAATGTGTTCTTTTGTCATTTAAAATACATGCTGCATCGCACATTATCAAAAGAAACAGCAGCTAAAGGAAAGCTCTGAATAAAGTGGGGAACTAACTTCACAGAGCACACAGCTGACAGACAGTTCATAGTGAAAGAATTCACTTTTTCTTTTCTTCTTCTTTTTTTTGCAAACGGTAATTGAATCTAATGTCAGTCATTTCCTCCCACAGTTACCTGAAGGTAGACTACCATCTGCTTCTTACGCACATTTATTTATTTTTTCCTCCCAGCAACTGGCTTCGTACACTCTCAGTAAAAATTGGCCAAAAAAATAAAATTTAAAACTTCCCCACAAATTCATCTGCAAATTTTCAAGTAGAAAAATACTCACTCATGAGCCGTGCCGGTCCTCAA